CAAGGCCAGAGCTGGTGCGGGTCTCGGGGGCCACCATGTCTGGGCTGCCCGGCTCTGTCCCGGGGCAGGGGGAGGTGGTGGCAGCTGTGGGGGTCTCAAGGGACACTGAGGGCTGTGCCCGAGGGCAGCCGCCACCATGGTTCAGCCTTGGGGGCTGCAGCCTGAAACAGAGGCAACCTGCCCACCCTGCCCCCGTCTTCATGGCTCTGTGTGTCCCCAAAGGGTGACAGAAACGTGCAGGGAAGCTCTTGGCCGGTGTCCTCATCCATAAACGCCGGCCCAGGCTGGTGTCCCCACTAATAACAGGCTCGTTCCCGAAGCAGCGTTGCTGGTCTGCAGCCCGGGGTAATGACAGGGCTGCTGCGCACCCCTCCCTCGGCGGTGGGCAGGACAGGGATGGGGACAGGCATGGGGACATGCTGGAGCGGAGGCACGGGGCGTCGTGGGCGAGTCCCACTGTGGTGATTCACATCCCGCTGACCCAAATTCCCGCAGCCGCCTGCGGGGTGGCACAGCTCCTCCTCCCTCCCCATGGCACAGGGACCATGTCCCGGTCTGGAGCAAGCAGGGACTGAAGGGTCGCGGGGTTGGAGGTGTCCTGGGGCAGATGGAGACCCCGGGCAGGGCGCACCAGACCACGCACCTCCGTGGGCTCCCCCAAACCCAAATCCTGGCTCGTGGCGAGGGGGCTCAGAGCAGAGGCCATTGGCCTGGGACGCTCGCCAGCCTCCAGCATTCCCAGCACAGGGAAGTCCTCAGCCTTCAGCGTTGGAGCATCTGATGTCCTTTAATGGATTTTTTTTTTCCTTCCCCACCCCTTTTTTGGGGGTTTTGACCCCACACGTCCCTCCACTACCCACTTTCCCCTCCCGCCTAATTGCGTAGTTGAGGTTTTGCCGCCTCGGCTTGTTTTGAACCCGGTGCCCGGGCATGCTGCTGCCCGTCCTGCTATTAGAAAATGCAGCTCCGGGTGCTTCGCTCCCCTCTCCGCACCCATCCCGTCCCACCCGCCGGCATCCTCTCGCCGGCCCGGAGAGCCCCTGGCCCGTGGCCATCCCCGCCGGGGGCCGGGCTGAGCGCTGGGCAGCAGCAGAGCTGGTCCAGGCGAAGGGAGAGCACCGAATGGAAAAGGCATTCATTAAACCTCAGCGCAGAGCCTTCACACGCAATTAAAGCAGCATAAATTCAATGTGGTTTGATTCACTGCTGAATTGAATTAAGAGCACTTGAAATTTGGACTAAGCCTATCGCCCGGGGATTTAATAGGGTTTCACTAACACACTTTAGAAGATAATGCGGGTTCATCTTCCTGAGTGTCCCTGCGCGGCCGGGGCAGGAGAGCTGCCGGGCTGGTGCGCTCGGGCACAGCCTCACTGGGCACTGCCATCCCACAGCAGTGCAAAAAAATCCCCAACTCCTTCCTTTTCCACAGATATTTCAGAGTGTTTCAAGCGGGGAGCTGCCCTTCCCTGCCCAAAGGTGCTGCGGGTCCCCTCCGTCCCCGGAGCCTGGTGATTTCTTCTCCCGGTGAGCGGAGAGCGATGCCGAGTGGTGGGGCAGGCGGGGAGAGGCTCCGCTCGTCGCCCACCATCAGGGAACGCGGCTGAAAAGCTTCCCCGCCTCGCACCCGCACAGCGCTCTCAACCCGACAGGGTCGCGCTCGCTCCCGCGTAGTTGCGCGTTCCCCTCCAGCAGCCGCAGCGGAGACCGACTGCAAGAGCCCTTCCCCAGCGCTTAATTACATCAAGCAGTAATTACTGTAATTCTTTTCAATTGGCTCTCTAATAAAGTTACAGCTTCGCTCGCGTCCGGACCCCCCTCGCTGCGCAGTGCAGCACCGCTGCCCTGATGCATCGCTGCTGCTTTCACTCGGGAGGTTTTGATTAAGACTGAAATTATCTGTCCGGTGGGGATCAGCGTATTTATGTCTGTTTTAACCCACCCGCTCGCAGGCTCGCGCGTCCAGTGCTGAACTGCTGCTTCGCCGGGGGCGGCGCCAGCAGGAGCCGGTGCTGCTCCAGCGCCTCCTGAGCTACCGGGGCGTCTGGGCTCGCTCCGAAATAACAACTTGCCACTTACCAGCCCTCCTCCAGGCCCCCAAGGTCAGGCTTTAAGTCTACTCGCACAGGTTCGAGAAGCACCGTCCGCCCCGATGCGCAGTGCCCGTTTCGCCCAGCTCCCGCCTCGCCCACGGAGCCCCGTTCCCAAGGGGCGACGCAGGAAGCGCCCCGGGTTTGAGCAGATCTCCGCTGGGGCAGCGTCCGTCACCCCCGCGCGCGGACAAGGCTCGTCCCGGCGAGCAGCACAGGTCTCTGTAACCGCGTTCCTGGTGGCTCCGGCTGCAGCACAGAAAGTGGAAATGGGATTTAATACGACCTCTGCTTTGGGGAGACGGGTTTTGCTTTCCCCCAGCCACTGCCAATGCATTCCTGACCACAGCAATTAAACAAGTTACAGCCATTAATGATTTACCTCAATGCACCTCTCCTCCAGAAACCCCCGCGCAGTTCTCCGAGGAGGAGCGATTTTGGGGTAAGGAAGAGACGGGCGAGTTGGGGCTTTGGGCC